AAAGAAACATAACAGATTTCTGTATATTGATCTTGTATTCTGCAACTTCATAGTGAATTCATTTATTAGTTCTATGAGCCTTTTGGAGTCTTTAGGATCTTCTATACATAGCATCAAGTCATCTGCAAATACTGACAGTGTTACTTCTTCCTTTCCAATATGAAAGCCTTTTGTTTCTTTTTCTTGCATGACTGCTCTGGCTAAGACACCCAATATTGTGTTGAATAAAAGTGGTGAGAGTGTGCATCCTTATTTTGTTCCTGATAACAGAGAAAAAGCTTTCAGCTTTTCACCACTGACTAAGATGTTAGCTATGGGCTTGTCACAGATGACCTTTATTGTGTTAAGATACATTTTTTCCATACATATTTTTTTGAAATTTTTTTTAATCACAAATGAATGTTGAATTCTGCCCAATGCTCTTTACGCATCTACTGAGAAAGTTATATGATTTTTATCCTTCATTTTGTTAATGTGGTGGATCACACTGAACAATTTGCAGCTGTTGAACCATCCTTGCATCCCTGGAATAAATCCCACTGATCACAGTGTATGATCCTTTTAATGTATTGTTGAATTAGGTCTGCTAAAATTTTGTTGAGGTTTTTTGCATCTAAATTTATCAGGGATATAGGCCTATAATTTTCTTTTCTTGTAGTGTCCCTGTCTGGTTTTGGTGTACCAGCTCTTTCTTTAAAGCTTCTTCCCATATTAAGTCTCATGGCCAAACTTAAATTTAAGTGGGCAGAAAAGTAAAATCCTACCACGTGCCATGGAGAGAATGTATGTATTTGTGAGGAGCCTTTATCACTACTATACCTGGGAATTCAGAAGAAACATCTTTTATTATTGCTCCAGACTCTTGTTTGACCACTTTATAAAAACTATATGCATTACTTTCTCATTTAAAAACATGCTCACATTCAGAATTTTAAATGTGTCCAAAAATGAAGTTTTAGACTGTATGCTGAAAACTAAAAAGAATATTACTCTCCGATAACTGTAACTGCAAGTTCAATTTTAGGAGTTGGCAAATTTAAACACATTTTTTTTGTTTAAAAAAAAGGTTGTATCTGCAAGGCCAATGTATTAAAGTAATATTAAATTCCACACATGGTTTTTAGTTTTTATTTCTATTAATCTATATGGATTATTCTAATAAGCTGGCAATGATCCATTTCTTCATTGGCCTGAAACATGTGAAGCTATCTCTTCCACTTCTCAGAATAAATATGCGATTCTACAAATCGGGGATTACTAACTTCAATTTATAGAAAAGGAAAGTGAAGTTTGGATCACACGACAGTTAATTTGTTGGGCCATGATTATTTTCCCAACATTTTATGTAAAAAACTTCAAACATACCAGTTTACTGAAAAAACTGTATAGTGAGCACTCATAAAGTCTACAGATTCTATAACACTTTGCTTTATTTGCTTCATCATATAGACATCAATTGATCTTATTTTTTATTCATTTCAAAGTAAGCTGCAGATAGCAGTATACTTTACCTCTAAACATCTGAATAGAGCGCAAAACTTGTTTATTGTTCTATATTTTAAAAATTAAGTTATATAGTAAAATGCACAAGTGTATACTCATACAAGTTCTAATAAACATATCCACCCATATAACTGAAACCTCTATCATCAAGATATACAAAACTTCCGCTATCCCAGAAGGTTCTCTCATATTGGGTCTTGACTTGAACACATGATCCATCTCCAAAGTCCACAGTGTTTTTTACAACACTATGCTACTTCTTTCTAAAAGGCGCAGTGTTTAAGCATATTAAACATTAAGAATTTTATTCCTAACTCTCAATAATTACGATGTTGAAATATGGAAACATGAAAGGAAGAAAGCACTAGAGCCACCCTCCACCAAAACCAGACAGCCTTGATATTTAGTATCTGTAGTAAGTGGTCTGTACCATGTTCCCACCACTGACTTCCCCTAAATAAAAACTTCTATGTGCGCCTCCCTAAGAGTTCAAGAGTTAACCTAAGAGGAATGGATGTGACAATAAGAAAAACATTTCATACGTTCATCTCTTTTCTAACTTCAATTAAACCAAAAGAGGCTTGGGGTAAGACCATTTCTTATGCTTCTGAAGCAAGCACTAGGTTAAGTGCCACATGCTTTGGTGGTTACTGTGAGAGGCAGTGGGAGACTGGAGAAAAAGCAAAAGCTTTGGAATCAACCAAATCTGGGTTCAAATCTCTTCATTTATTAGCTGTATAAACAACAAATTTACTTAACTTCTCCATGACTCAGTCTCTCAACTGTAAAATGAGGCCTATGTTTTACCTTCCCTTCAATGTACTTTCTCAAATAAATGATCTACATAGAGATCCAGGCCAACCTCTGCTCTGGAACTCAAGTGTTGGGGAAAATTGCTCTGGCCCTTTTCAAGTCACACCCCTCCTCACAGGTGAAGAGACCACAGGTCCAAAAGGACATACATAACATGAGTCCACACTTCGGCCACAGTCTATGCCCTGGGTAATCTAGAGCCAAGAATTCCTTGCCTAAACAGAGCAGCCTTGCCTCTAAGGTCTGAAAGAACCTATTCCTCGGGTCTCACTTGCTGAAAGAATATGAATGAAGTGTGGATGTGACGACTGGGGGATTGAAATATATGTGTGAAGCCACCCCTCAGAGAAGAGAATAGTGCTTGGGGTGGGAAGAGATACAGGTCAGACTGAGAAGGCAGGATGGGCTCAAAGCATGCAGACATGGCACATAAGCCTGAAGAGTGCAACTTCTTAGTTCAAACCTGAAGGTCAAGGTCCATATGAAGGTTTATTTGTCAAAATGGGAGGACAAAACATATTTTATGTAGTAGTTTGTTAATGTATACACACAATGTATGTGGGTCTTCATTTATATTTGCTCCAAACTGCAAATGTTACAAATGAGCCCATCTGTATCTACTATTAATCGGTACTGATATCTTCACTTTCAAATACTGTCGTATTTAGTCATATAACATTAGGTTTCACTAACCCTGTCATGCAGATAAAGAAACAAAAAAGCTTAAGAAATCTTCTAACTCTATAGTACTCTCTCCTTAACTTTTGAATACCTAAGTTTCCTCCTCTAATATATTGTCAATATTACACTCAGTGTACCCTGAATCCCTAACTTCAGCCCTTATTCTCCATGACCTCTCTTTCAGCACCTGATAGTATTAACAATTCTTCCTTAGAACATCTTTCCCTTGCTTTTAAGACTAGATCATTTTAGTTATTCTCTTAGCTTTTGCTATTTTTCTGGCTCCTCTGTTTCTGGATAGTGTCTGCATAAAGCATATGCTCAATAAAAAGTACCATTTTTTTTTAATCTAAAAAGTAGAACTATTATCTTTAAGTACAGTGCCAGTTACTTAGTAGAGGATACAGGCATAGAATACATGTATAGTATTCTACTACGTAAACTAACAGCACCATAAAACTGAAGCTCAGAATGATCAACAAATTAACTTGTATTAGAAAGCTGGCTAGCTAGTATTTCTAGCTTTATGATCCTGAGCAAGTCACTTAACCTCCCTGAGTTTCTGTTTCCCTGTCTGTGTCATCTTATAACATTCTTGTGAGAATTAAATAAAACTCAGGACATAAAACACACTGCACATGATTCATAGTAAATGTTAACCCCCTCTTCTTTTTGTTGCTTCCAGCTGAATACATTAGCTTTCCCTCTGTGCATTTCCAAAGACTAAGTTCTTGGTCTCTTGGTTTTCTTTCTTTGTATCCCATATCTACACTTGATCACACTTGTAAACCCAACTTCTTCAGAAAGGTGGTCTTGAATTAACTGGGTGCATTTCTAAGTGTCCAGGCCCACATCTCTCTAGTTTTTAATTTTTTTTTTTAAGATTTTACTTATTTATTCATGAGAGATACGAGAGAGAAAGACCTAGACAAAGAGAGAAGCAGGCTCCTCACAGGGAGCCTGATGTGGAACTCGATCCCCAGACCAGGATCATGCCCTGAACCAAACGCAATTGCTCAAACACTGAGCCACCCAGGTTACCACATCTCTTAGGTTTTGCTAGTTATTTCTACTTGAGAATCCCACTGCCTACCATATCAAACTGATCCTTTTCCTCACAAAATGAAGAGTGGAAGGCAAAAAGACTGGGGATAGGATAAAATATTACAAAGACCAAATTGATAGGATGAATGTTAAGAAGCTAATTTCATGGTTTCAAGCTTGTCTGAGAAAATTACAAAAAAATTGAGAAGATTCTCATAGATCATGTCCAAAATTTTTTTTTCCTTCAGACACGAAACTCTAATCCATTTCCCTAACCTGTGAAACCCAAAATCTTCTCATTCCTTTGGATTCTCTCACAGTTAAGTGCTCTATTCGTCAAACATCTGATTATATACTATCTTCTGTTACTGATTTTCATAAATTTACATCTTATCTTCTTGACTATGCTGTAAGTCCCTCAAGGCCAACAACCATTTCTTAAATCTTTAGTATTCTTCATAATGCTGATTGACTACTATTATGAGGATATGGTCAAGAACTCAGAAATCATGAATTGAGATGATCTCGATTTTTCCCTAACTTGCAAGGAAAAGCTTCTCAAATCAGAAAGGTTGGGGAACCTTCCACACGTACAAAAGGTGTGACAAACCATCTGTTAATACTTTATAGAACTGTGCAAACTTTTCTCCAAAAATTATTTATATGTTCTTATATAGATACTAGTTATTATATTACTTTTTGTTAAGCAAGTCTTAAAACTATGTCTCAAAAACCATGTAATATAGACTGGCGTGCTATTTATTAAATTTTAAAACTTTTAAAACTCCTACGACAAAAAATAATTAGCCCAAAGTTTATTAAAAGAAATGGCTTCCTTCTTTGGTTAAATATATTACATTTCAATTCTGGAAAAATTTGATGAAATTACATTTTCTTTACTGTGATCAAAACAGAATAACTGCAGGATAATAAAACTGATTTTGATTTACTCATTTTACCTGAGTAGCTTTATCTTTCATGCATGAAGGGTAATGAACATGAGGATCCCGTGGCCACTGTCCTGTGAGATAAGGTCCTGTTATCGTATCCAAAGAAGAGGTTCGCCTTATTGTACTAGAGGTTCGAAGTTGCTGAGATTTTGGCCTGTCCACTATAAAAAGTGAAAAAAAAAAAAAATTAGTCACTGACAACTTATATAAAATTTAAAATCATTTAAACTTCATACTTTGTACAATGTCACCCTGTCGATTTTCCCTACAATATGTATTTACCCTATTAGCTCTCTGATGTGACCCGATGAAATCTGTAGACCTTCTATGAAGAAGAACACGTTCATATATTAAATCTTGTAGATGCTTCCAGGGCTGTCAGAGATGCCCTGAAGCCCACCCATTCTGAAATCTGCCCACCACCTTCATTACCATAACTTTAATCAAGACTCTCAAAGTCTCACCTGGACTGCCACTTTCCTGACTGCTATCTCTCTGCATCCATCTCAATCAAATCCTCCAGGGCTACCTCTCATCACCACTAAAGAAACATTTCCATGGTTAATCTTTGTCTCTGACTTAAAGCCTGTATTTTTTACAGTGTGACCCCCATATATCTCAGTGTTTAATGCTTTTGCTAGTCCTCTGTAAATCCTTGCTATGAAGTGCCAAACAAACTGCAGGTTCCCAAATGTAAGACACTCCCTTCCCTGCCTCTATCCATGCTCCTATTTACTGAACCTACAACTCTCTCCTTTATTGTTCATTTGACAAACTCTTATCTTCAAGACCAGCTCAGGTATCACACCAACTCTGTGAAACCTCTCCCAGTGCTTTTCCTTCTGCACCATTGTTTTAAGACATGTGTCCCTCTCTGCTTGCATGGAATGGGTTTGCCCTTCTCCCCAGTCAGTACATAAGTTTAGTCTCTACAGACTGAAAAGGAGTCAATGCTCAATACCTATTTAATCAATTTATTCACAGCTACACAAAAATAACATGTATAAAGAACTTTATATTTTAATTCAATTTCTTCATTTATGAAGAATCTGAAGCCCAGAGGGATAAAATGGAATTGTCCAACGAAATAGAATTGCTAACAAGAGGGAGAGGTAAAAAGCACGATCTCCAGACATTCTATACCGTTTAATCAATCTACAACAATATACTTCTCTCCATTTGGCTACTGTTAAGTACCTCTGCTGAAAATTAAAATGAAAATAATGAACTCTACAATTTCTCTAATTAAGAGATTATAGAAGGTTTTTCATATAGACATCCCCAGTAATTTACCACCAATGTGCTTTCTATAATAAAATCCCTTGAATTACAAGCTCCAAAGTTCAGGGTCTTCTTATTCAGGGTTACATCTCACATCGAACTAAAACGCGTTGCACATGACAGTCAAGAAACATTTGTTATTGAACACTGTCCTTTAACTATCTTCTTGAAACCAGAATACATAAGTAGGCTTTTTTTTTTATCAGACAAAACAGCAACACAGCATACACAGGTGTTATATTATTTACATATCTTAAAACTGCAGTTTTGGTTTCTTCTTTAACCCAAGAGAGTTAGAGAAGATATGAAAATTACAAATTTCCTCCCTATCTTTATTACTTAGCTCTAATTTCATTTCACCATGGGCAGAGAATCTAGGATGACCTATTTCTATCTACTCTTTGCAATTACCTGAAATTTTCTTTGTGATCAAAAACATGGTCAATTTTTATAAACATTTCATGAGTCATGGAGAAGATATATTTTCTGTTTTCAGAATATATAGATCTTTGTCTTGTACATCAACTGAAATAAAAATATTGAATACAGGAATAATACAATTACCAGCTGGATATGTCACAGGTTTAGAGAAGAACTTTCAAATTCCTAAAATACTATTGAGATCTAGTAATTCTCTTCCTTTCTTGCAATTTGTTTATTTATTTATTTATTAGAGAGATTGTGTGAGCACAAGCACAGAAGGGAGGAGCAGAGGGAGAGGGACAAGCAGATTCTGTGCTGAGCATGGAGCCCGAAACGAGGTTTGATCCCAGGACCTTGAGATCATGACCTGAGCTGAAATTCAAGAGTCAGTCACGCAACCAACTGAGCCACCCAGGCACCTCTCTTTCTTGCAAATTTTTATCATTTATATTTAGTTCTTTATAATTTAATACATACTGATCCATGATGTCATCATGGTTTGCACACTTCACCATTATAATCTGTTCCTGTGTATCAATTTGTAAACTCTCTCAAAGTAAACTTTATGACCTCCTTGCGCTCTCTATTATAATTTACCTGGAATGCCTATTCTTTTATTTTAAATTTCTTTCAATCATTCTGTTCATGTGTATCTCTTATATATAGTATATAACTAAGCTTTTTGAAAAAAACTTTGTAGTAAGCCTTCTTCTTGTAGAAGGTAAATTTAACTCTGTATGTTGTTATAATAAATTTAACTTGTCATGTAACATTATTCTTCCTTTTTGTAATACTTCCTTGCTTGCTACTTTCCTCGGTTTCACTGTTTTTTTTTTTTCTTCTCTCTTCTTGTCATAGCTAGTATCTATGTAGACTATTTTTAGTATTAGAAGTTGTCTTTTATCAATTCTTCCAATTTTTTTTTCTGGCTATAAAAGCAATACCCACAAATATTAGCAACTCTGGGAGACAGAGAAAATTAACATGTCTCTCATAATCTAATTTGTCATTTGTTTGAAATTTTTAGAAGTTACTTTATGTTCCCTCCACCAGGAAGACACAAAACAGCAGGTTATCCCTCTAAAAAAGCCAACATTTATAGTAGTCCACCACTAAATTAAAAAACATCCTACATAAAGGTCAGCTGTAACCAGAAATAGAATCATTATAGGTGAAAAAAACCTGTACCTAAATTTAAATTGCTCCAAACTATTAAAATGTTGTATGTACTCTACTTACAGCTACTAAAACTTCCCCTAACTTCAAAAACAATGGGGACAATTTTTATGTTTTATAATGAAGAATCTATATAAATAGGCCCCTCGATCTATATTTTTTAATTTATACTTAGTAACTTACTATATATTTTATCACTGGACCTTTGACTATCACTCTCAAAAGATCACATCTTCTCCTCTTAGTGTTCATTCTTTATGATTAGCTACTTTGCTGGAACTGGGTCTTCAAGCTATTTTGCCTAAGTACTCCAATTGGTAAATAGTTAAGCATGTAGCAACATGTGTAGTTACTTATCTAATAAATGTAGTATGTACTATATTACTAGCATGCTAAATATTATAAAAACAAACATCTATGATATGGAATGAAAAGTTAAAAATACATGTATAAAAAACAGAAGTTATGATGTTTTCTCTCCCTGTATCTCAGCATTCACTTTAATGGACTTGAAACTGAGTGCTAGACTCTATGCATAGACTGGCCACTCAGCTCTGGTTAATTTCACGATATTACCCTACTGCTTGTGTTATGAATGTGGAGACAAGCATCAAACATTACCAACACTGAAGAAACAAACAAAAGGTATGCCTTTAAAAAAAAAATAAGTTAGAACAACACAGTATCCATATCTTGTTACAAAATTCACTCTACCAGTCATCATTCTTTTTAAGAAATTAAAGTATACAAGGCAAATATTCTTGAAAAGCCCTATTTCAAACATATTCTTTAAAGTAAAGATTCTCACCACTGCTCACAACCAGGAAAATTCCAAAGACAGGAAATTATTAATTTCCAAATTATCTGAAGTATAAAAATTCAGAATAGGTTTGAAAATTGGCAAGGATAGTACTTTTTCAGGATATAATTAGCTGTAATAAATAACCCCATCTATCAAAGACAACTAAAGATTTAGATTTAACAAAAGGTTTATCATAAACAATGCAATTCTACTTCAACAAGATGACCTGTTACTATTATCCAAACTATCATGGCAATGAGTCTTTAACTGCCTCAACATCTAAGCCTTGATTCTCACAAATTTTTTATTTACTTCACGGTATTATCTCCCACCAATTCAGGTTTTACAATGTAGTGCAATAATGAAAATCAACACTGGTTTTGCATTATTTATATATTCAACACACTAAACTGTTTACTTCATGATTACAGTTGTGATTAGAATGTTTTTAGTTTTGAATTGCGTAATCGCAGCATTTCTCTACTAATTATTACAAAATTACCTCAATTCACGTAGATCAAACAAGAGGATACCTTATGAGCTAGAAACAGGCAGTACTACAGGCAATCTTTGAATTAATTTACAAGAGCTTGAATAACTTAATAGAATTGCTAAAATAAATATACTTATGTAAAGTACAAAAGAAAATCAATTAAATACTTATCATTACTTAAGGTAAACAGGCATCAGGAAAACAGTACCTTCCTCAGTGGTGAAACCAGGTAATCATTATTACTAAAGAAAACTTGCTAAATGTCTACCATATGGAAAGTACTGTTACATGTACCAAGGGAAATTGCAAAATAAGTTTCAGACTCTCTTCAAGGAGTTTACATACTGCCTGGGAAAGATATGATACCTATCATTAAACTAGAATATAAAGCAGTATATCAATGGCAAATGCACACCAATGAAAGATAGGAAGGCAAACAAGACAAAAAATAAATTGCTCAGCAGACAGCAAGAATGATGCTAACTACACCAAATGAACAGTGAGAGTCTTTGCCATGTCACTTACCAGTCCTGTTGCCAATACCCTTACTCAAATATTTGAGGATAAAATACAGAATAACGAACTTCAGAAAAAAAAAATCACATTTATTTCCAGTACTATCATCATTATATTAGAACCAGAAAAAGACTGTTGATAGCAAGAGTCTGCAAAAAAGTCTTCCTCATTACATTCCTGTAAAAGGTTGTGCTTTCCTGACCATCCTCGCCTCCCTGAATACAAAGCCATGTGGCAGTAGCAGTTGGTAAGCCTGGGGCTCCTCTGAGTATTCACTAAGGATTGTACGAAATAATTCTTGCTCTCTAACAACTGACTGGAAATTCAACTTTAATAATAATGAAGCAGGTTTAAAGGTAAGAAGCTAAATATTAGATAACCCTGAATTTAAAGAGCAAACTAAGCATTGTTCAAAACAGATAAAACATGCCTAATATCTAACTGCCAGAGCAATGTAACGTGACATTAAT